ACTAATTACTAAATCAGCTTCAGGAAGAATTATCTTGGAAATGGGCTTTTGAAATTTTTCCTTCAATAAATTGTATGGGGTTTTTTTTGTTTGTTTGTTTTTGGTCATTTTTGTGGACTTTCTATGGATGCCATGCTTAATTTCAAGAAAGTACATATTATCCTTTACTTCTCAAACACAGCTAGCTGCAAGTATCCCATGTGCCTGTTAGCAATATTTAAAAATAGATTATACAGGCAAAACAGTCTGTGCATTTGCTTCCAAGCATGATATTATTTTAGAGGGATCTTCTAAATGCATGGCTGTACTGACAGCTCAGACAGCTCTCATGGTGACTTATGTGTACTCTGACAAATCCTTTTTTAGAAATACTGATGTGCAAGTTAGGTCAGTTGTTATGAATGTGGGGCTATGACCATGGCCTTGGATGTGATTCCCATTTGGGGCATTTACTATAGCACACAGGCAGTAAAATTGTACATGAGTCCTTTCCAGCTGGCTAGCCTCAGGGTGGGGACAGTCACCTATAGGAATGGGTGACAAATGTGCCTGTATATCCCATTCCCAGTCCTATTGCTCCGAGGGACGTATGTCTTTTGGGACATTTCATAGCGTAATCTGATTGATCTTGTATACAAAGCAAAGGCATTTGGATAAAAAGAAAATTATAGCCTTTAATATGAATCACAGCCTTATTTACTCTGGCTGAGGAACTGTGACCACAGGCTTTAGTTACATATAACAATTCCCTATAACTGATCAGTTTTTTGAGAGCTTACATGATTTTGGCAAAAGGTGGTGACCTTAATCCCATCCTAACTAACTTTATTTCACTGTCCTTGTGTTCTCCAGGAATATTAACAGGAGACTGAGGATATTAGAGGACAAAAACAGATGCCTTTGTCAGCTGATCCAGAATAGAGGGGGTGGGAGTGACCAGGTCCTGGTCTCCTTCCTGCAGCAATTTCCAGCGAGTTCTGTAAAGTGCCACCTACACAGAAGAGCAGTGTCATCTGGTCTAAGGCCACTAAGTCTTTTATTGAGAAAGTGGGTGGCATAGCTTGGAGAGGAGAAATTGGATTCTTACAAGAATAAACTTTAAAACTATAGTTCAGGTTTACTCTTCAGAAATTGATCACAGACAGTCATAAATCATGTTGGAGACTCAGGAAATGATTACCATTCATCTTGGCCTAAACTCCTTTGGAGGATACTCCACATTCCACTGTTTCATAATGTATAACACATGTTTACAGGATTCTGTAATTTATTCTATATTATAGACTAGTTAACTACACCTTCCCATTCTGCTCACAAATGCCCATCAGAATAAAGAAGAGAAAGGCAGCTGGTTGCTGGAGAAAAATGGCCTATGCGCAGGCCTTGCTTGAATAAATAGTTGAGCATTTTTACTGATGTGAACAACACAAACAGGCCTGTGATAAATGACCAGTTTTATGTTAATAATACCAACCAACCTATGCACCACATTTGATGGTTTTTAAAGCATTTTCACAGCTGTCCTTGCATCAGATACAATGAAAGGATACAGAAATCCATGATCTGAAATGGAGTCTTACCTTGTTCCTGCAAATGACACTTGTCTTGCTGAGATATGCTTGTCCCTTTAAAACAATCAGCTCTTTTCCTCACCTTTTGCCTATTAGGTCCCTGTGTCTCTGTCTTAAGAGTAGCCAGGAGTGTCCAACCCACAGTTTGCACCTCTGTAGCCTGCCCAAGGGGCCGCACATCCTTATGCAGGCATATGATGTAGTTTCCCTCCAGGGACTGTGCTTTCTCCCAGGTTTGCTCTGTGTCTGTGGAGTGAATTTTTTCTGGCAGCTGCAGCCATTTTCTGGTTTGCTGTGGGGAGAGGCAGCAGGTATACATTCTTTCAGGAACTGGGGCACATTTAATGGTGGTAAAATTACTGGCAGTTTGAATAAAGACTGCTTTCAAAACTTTGACCTTTCTTTTCCCTTGTTGTTGAAAGGAAGAGAGTCATTTCAGCTGGTAGAAGGTGAGAATGTTAAGACCTTTTTGTTTGTGTTTTGCTGGTGCTCACCAGTTCTTATGATTAGTAGGTTACTCCTCAGTGACCAAAGGGGTTTTGTAGGGAGTTGGGAAAGGGTACAGCACCAAGAACAAAACTGTCCTCGTCATTGTCTCTTTGTGTCCAGGGGACTTTTATTTCTAACTAAGCCAACTTATGTTTGTTGCAGCTATAAAAGGGAAGGTATTTTAAAATTTTAATCACAACTTTTGTCCACAGAAATTATCTGTTATATTACCCCAGTAGAAAAGTTACCGCCTTTATTTCTTTGTGTTTCACTTTTAAAAATTTTGGGCGGACATGCTTATGTTAACACTGTGTCCATATTTTTTTTCCCTCGAGTTATAAGTAAGTAGGTATTTCTGAAATTATAATATTGGCTAACTACATTATTCCTAGAATGTTCAAACACTACAAGGAAGCTATGTTGCCTTTTCTTCAGGTGTGCTTGGTTGTTTGGATAACTGCTTATATGTTCATTTTTAGGAAATAAGTTTAATGCTGTTTTTTTTTCTTGTTAGGAGTTAAAAGTTCTAGATGATTAAAGCCAGTTAAGAAAATATTTCTGTGCAGTCACGATGGGAATCGTGATGGGAATAATAGGCAAATGGGAAAAGAACCTGTTTGGTGGTTTTTAGAACACAAATTTGGTCTGGCACTGGCACCTGTGAAGGAAGGTACCTGCAGAATCCCGGCTGGCGTGCTTTGCTTGGTTGGTACAGAACTGTTCAATCCCCAGAAGTGGTCATTGCTTCTCTACACAGAGTCTGACTACTCAACAAAAGCCTATTTTCAAACATTTGTTTTGAAAATCAATGGTAAAGTCAAATCTACTCTCTTTTCACTTATTGGAAACATTTTTTCAAACACGTTCTAAGTCACCTCTTTACCAGGAGCTTTCATTTTGCTGCTTCACTCTATTTTTGTAAACTTTGATACATTTTTTTGATGGAGTTACTTGTTTTGTTGGAAAATTCTACCAGTTTACTCAGTATCTAGAAGCCTTGGAAAACTTAGCATGAAGAATATCATTTACAACTTGAGCAAATGAGGTATATTTGTTATTTTAGGGCCACAAATAGAACATTTACATGTGATATCTAAATTCCATTCGTAATGGCAAAGCTTCTGAAGTAAATGGCATAACAGTGTCTCCTTTCTCTAAATTTGGTGCTTCAGAGCCCATCATTTGATTTGCATTAGAACATTTGATTTTATGTATTGAAGAGTAGTATTGAAATAGGATTCTGTAGTATTTTGTTCTAAGCCTTTGCTTTTTGCTCTGTAATTCATTAAAAAGATCTCTAAAAAGATTTTATTATTTATATTTTCTCTATCCATGGAGTGTCATATTTACATGTGTTTCTGTAACTATGTGATGATGACGAGTTTATTTCCGCCCATGGGCATGTTGATTCTGTTCCTGTGTAGTATCATGAGTGCACCCTCAGTGCCTGGCTTCCTACGCACACTGAGGGGGCTCTAGAATAATGGACTTCAGAAGCACAGGCTTTTCCCTTAAGGTATATGATGCAGTAGCAGAGGCAGAATACTTGTACACACGTGGGCACACACATGAAAACAGTCACCCAGAACACTGGACACTTGGCAGACTTCTCCGGGGAGCTCTGAATGACATGGAGACCGGCACAGGCATTTCACTCCCAGCCTCCCATTTGTCAGATCAACTAAGGATATAAAAATAGGCAAAAACAAGCCAAAAAGAATGTCATCATTACTGAAATGACAGCTGGTACTTATTACATGTTCATGATTGTCCCGGCCCTGCTAAGTTCCTTACATGCATTATTTCATGGGTTAGGTAGCGAGTATCTTCATGGAACCAGTGAAGACCCAGGGCAGTAAAGTAATCAGCCCTAATGTACATAACTTGAAAGTGGCAGAGTCTGACTTCCAGGCCTTTGCAGGGGCTGTGGCTCGGACTTCTCATACTGTCAGCTGAAAGGAACGCAGCGATGTAAATTTGCACCATTCTGCCCACTGATTCCCCATGTTAGAGAAGCATATTGGTGGTAACCCTCTGAAGTAAAGATATTCAAGGAGACTCTACCTGCCCTGCTTAGGGTAAATGCCAGATATGGGTTGACTCCTACCATCCAAAGTTGGAGTAAGCAGAAAAAAAGAAAAGGAAAAGAAGGAAAAGGCCTATGTAAGATTTTGCAGCAGAGAAAAAAAAATAACATTTAAAATGCAAGGGAACAACATATAGCTGGCAAAATTATGAGAGACAGGTAAATTTTAGAAATTAATTTTTAGATAGCATCTGCTTTGGACCTTAAAATTCAGGGAAACATAGGCTTTGAAGTGACTGAGAGGTAGGCAAGCCAGATTGTGATGAAGAGAGAGCATGTCTGCAAAGCTAAGGAGAAAAGAGCAGAGAATGCAGCATAGATCTTTGAGGCAAGAATTTGGGAGTGAGTCTCAGGTCCCAAATTCTAGCCATCCCAGGCTCTAGCCATACAACTTTGGACAGGCCGCTTGTCCTCTCTGCTTCAGTGTTTTTATCTATAATATGAGGCTACCTACTTAATATGGTTGTTAGGAGAATTTAAAATGAACTAGGAGAATCAAAGAATATATTAAAGTAACAGTGGAAAACCAACACTATTAAAACATTGAATCCGTAACGAAACTAAGAATCCAGAGGAAGGGAATAAAATGATAAAGTAGAAAAGATATATGTATGTGGACAATAGAGAATGGAGATCACTAGGAAATTCATGTTTTTGAAAGAGACTTGAACAAATGGAATTGATGCTGCAAACAAAATGTAGCAGAATCTTTAGATGAAAATGGCTACATGCCAGGACAATACCAGCCAACACTAGGAATAATCTTAAATGTTATTTATTAATTTAATGGGTAGAAAACCAATTAATTTAATCAGGCAGAAAAGCAGGTTTACTTGAAAGGGAGAAAACCCTACCTGGCTTTGGACTTGCTCTTGCGCCCTGCAGAATTCAGAAAGTGGCAGAAACAGTACCTCTGCTGAAGGACACCATAAGAATGTTTTTACCTAGACAGGGTAGTGGTCATGCAAGAAGAAAATAAAAATCATTCTGAGGTTGACAATGATATAAAATATCCCCATCCAAAAGCTACTTGAAAAATGAATGACCTGGAGATTTACCTAGCTATAAATCAGCATAAAAATAAGTAATGGTATGAAAGTGCAAAAGGGAACAAAAAATTGGTTATTAGTTCTTCTCCTTGGCTGGGGCATTAAGTACTTAGAGGGCTCTTGATAGACTTACCAATTGAGTATTTGGACAAAGCTGAGTGTGAATCTGATGAGCGGCCAGCACTAAGAGCTGCTTTACCAAGTTAAATCAAGGTAAAATATGTACTGTACACAGATAATTAAGAAAGTAGGGAATGTTGCCAAGGATATGTAAAAAGGATTCCATTATTTTATGGTTATGCTAATTGGTTTGAAGATCTCAAACTTTTATAAGATAAAACAAATTTTAATAAAAGGTTATTTTCCATTGGCAGGACTCAGTTTCATGAAAATTTCTTCCCATGTGTGTCTACTATATGTGTAATTCCAACCAAAATTATAATTGATTTTTTAGAAGTTGATAAATTGAAACTTTATCTAGAAGAATGATCTTGTAACATAGCAAAGAAATTTTTAGAAACTGGATTTTGTGAAGGAGGCTTATCCTACTGTTTGGTAGCACTTAATACAAATTAAAGCATTTGTACTGGAGAATTATGAATAGAATGAAAACGGAAACAATGGAAGTTGCAGAAACAGACCCAGTATTATAGAGATAGAAGGGATAATTCATCACAAAGAGTAATTAAAAATGTTTATGTGACTAGTAACAGAACCTCAAAATATATGAAACTAAAACAAAAATGGACAGAATTGAAGGGAGAAACAGAGAATTTCATAATCATAAATTTTAATACCTCTATCAGTAGTTGATAAACAACCAGCAGTTGATAGGAAAAAACAGTAAAAATGAAAACATTAATAACACTATCAGTTGTCTTAATTAGTTGACATTTATATCTGTAGAATGTATTCACTGACCTCAGTAGAATTAAATGAGAACTCAATAACAATGAGCTATATAGGAAAACTCTAAATATCTGAAAATTTTTGAAAAAAAATTTCTTTGTAATTCATATGGCAAAGACAAAATCACAAGGAACTTAGAAAATAATTTGAAATGAATGGCAGCAAATAAAGAGCCACTACTGCTCCCCTTAAAAGAACTGAATGTATGGATCTTGCACTTCGACATAAAAGTTAAATGTGAGTCTATATTTGCAAAGAAAATCACTGGCCATTTTTTTGTTGATGATCCTGCATATAATTGTACAACATTTTCAGCAGGAAAAAAAAAATTGCCCACATTTAATCATGTCACAGTGGGGCTGTCAGTTAAAGTAGTAATTTTAAAACAAAACCAAACACAACAAAAAACTGTTCCACACTAGTAAAAAAATGTATTAAATATTTTCTTACCATAAAATCTATTAAAACTGGAAATATGTCAGTGATACATGTATTTACCTCTCACATTATATTAATAAAAAATTAATTTTAACTCATTTATCAAATGTTCATTCCAATTTAAGAATAACCTGTGTGGTTAACAAATGGCTTGAGTGCGTTATAGTACTGTATGTCATAAAATATGTTGGATGTGTGAGTAGACATCAGGTAATTATAATTGGTTGTTAAAACATAAGTTTCAGCAGGGGACCCATGATGATAAATATTGGATACTAAAGTGAGGAAGAAGATAAAAAATTTTGTGAAGAAATTTTGGAATCTGGTTTTAATTTTTAAAGTCCTTGCCCACATTGAGGGTATAAAACAATCTAGTTGTTGGAGATTAAAGAGAAAGCGTTTTTGTTTTGTTTTGTTTGTTTTTATAAAAGAGTAAATGTTCTTTGTTTAAGTCTCTGGTGAGACTTGTGCTGAGTCCTACCCCTTCAAGTTGCTTCTCCCTTCATCTCAAGTCAAGAAAAACAGGCTTCAAGGACACAAATTAATGATTTCATAAGTTTCTCCTGAAGGCCTTGGTGGGCTGAATATAGGGGGAGATAAAAAAGCTGAACTCCTGTGGAAATGACAGAATGGTGGCTTCAAGAGTCATCTTGCACTGCCAAATTTTGTTTAGATGAAGACCCATGGGTGTTTCCTATAGACTGTGGTGGGCCGTGGACATCCAAGGGTGAGAATGAGATTGGTTCAGGTCCTCTTTACTAAAGAAGTCTGGAGAACATGGACCCTCGGACCACAAAACCTGCTTCCTAGATGCTTCATAAGAAGTGTATGCAGGGCTAGTTTCATGGCTGTGCAACCTGTGCAGTTGCAAAAAGACAAGGCCCTAAGAAGGGCCCCATACTTGGTTAAATGGGGTGCTGCTACCATCTTGAAATTAATTTTTTAAATAGGCAGCCTTATGTTTTCATTTTTAACTGGAATTCCACAGATTACCATATGTAGTCCTAAATTTATTACCTGCCTTGAGGAAACTATGATGATGGGGTCTCAGCAGTGGGAGAAGGGGTAGTTCTCTAAAGCAGGGGTCCTCAACCCCCGGGCCATGCACTGCTCCTCTCTATGGCCTATTAGGAACTGGGCCACACAGCAGGAGGTGAGCTTTAATGTCATGCACTTGAATCATGTTGAAATCATCTCCCCCTACACCGTCCATAGTCCCCCATCCACTCCCCCCAGAGTGAAAAGTCCCTGGTGCCAAGAAGGTTGGGGACTGCTGCTCTAAAGTGGGAAAGAGTAGGCTTTAAATACTCATCACACTTGCTGATAAGGCTAGTGAACCAGTCAGGTAGAATGCTGCTGCTTCTCTGACCTCCATTTTTATCATCTACCTCCAGGCCTTTCCAACCCAGAGAGGACTTAAAACAGCTTAGGAAGGGGGAGAAGATTTGGATAAAAGGGGAGATTTTCATAAACACTCCTTCCCCAGGTGGTGCATGTTAACCTGTAGCAGGTCTTAGCTGGGGAAGATAAGCTGTCATACCACTGAAGCCAGATACTCTAATAGCCAGGTGGAGACTCTTATGTTTTAAAGTGACAATAGGACTTGTATTGGATAAAAGTAATTCGAAAAACCATGGTGCTTTTTTGGGATTTCGTTCAGGGGTGGGGGATGAACTATTACATTGAAAAAAGTTAAGAGACAAGTGAAGGACAAAATGAAATGCTTTTGAAAGTGCATCTCTAAAGTGATATTTTTCAATGTATTGATTACATAAGAATGTAGAAATATCAAATGCTTTTGATTCATAAACCATGATAACTTTTAAGTTTCAAGTGATGCTTAACTTAAGCATCACTATTTAAAATTTAGCTAGTGAACACTAGCTTAAATTTAATGGTGAAACTGGACTTTTGTAAATTACATCTCCAAATTGATCTAATTTGGTAATCGGAAAAAAAGTTAGATTTTCCCATTTGTCATTTGCACTTGTGTTTATCTATTTGTTGGCTTGCTAACAGTGGTCTAAAAATGGAAAACTTTAGCTCAATGTGGTTGCTTTTTAAAGTGAGGAAAAATATGTAATATATCTTTAGAAAATACACTTAACATTTGGGACAATTAATCTTGATTTATAGTAAACTAATTTTATTTTTTCACTAGCAGTGACATAGAGTAATTTTTTTTCTAGGGGCTCTTCCAAATGACCTGAGTTAGAAGACCGTTGCTAGTTTTCAATGTATTTCTATTGTTATTTCCCATCTTATGCAAAGACAGACTATAGTAGGCTAATTATCAAAAATTGCATTTAGTCCCACATGGATGTGCAATTAATTAACTTTGATGGTGATGGACTGACATTTAGAGTAAAATGCGGTTACATTCTTTCCTGGGATTCTGTGAACTATATTTTAATGCCCTTCAATGATGAGATATTTACATTTTAAATTTTCTGGAAGTTTTTTTGTAGTTGTTCAAACTTCACAAAATGAGACTGTTGTGAATTTTTGACTAAAAAATTTCATGAAATATTTTCTTTTTTAGTAGATACCCTTATAAATTCTTTTGGCTATATGAAACTTACAGGAGATTTATATTTTGTGACTTCATAAGTATTATGAGATATATGTAAGTTCTGTCAACATAGAGATAATTTTATTTTTGACCTTGTGCTAAAGCTTATTTTAATTGTTGATCTTTCTGATTTTACTTTAAATTAGAAAAGGCAGCACCTAAAATGGATCCTTGAAGGAGTGGTCATCAAGGGAAAAATATATCTGTATCATTTGTAATTTAAAAGTCAACATTTTTAAAGGAAGAAAATTTAAAAGTAGATGCAATGATATTCCAGGGTAGTCAGGGATTGGGCTGAAACTCCCCTTGCGTCTTGTTCTCTGCCTAATATCATACGCAAGCCATTACTCAAAAGAGTTGTGAATACCATTTGGAAAAGTAATCACAAAATCTTATAAATATCTTAACTTTTCATTTCTTTCTTCAGTATATTTCTCTGGTTTTGTTCTAGGCTCGCAGGAAGGAGGTATTTATCCAGGAACGGTATGGAAGATTCAATTTAAATGACCCATTCTTGGCACTGCAGAGAGACTATGAAGCAGGTGCCGGCGATAAAGACAAGAAGCCAGTTTGTACCAACCCCCTCTCCATCCTTGAAGCAGTCATGGCCCACTGCAGAAAAATGCAAGAAAGAATGTCCACACAGCTAGCTGCTGCAGAGAGCAGACAAAAGAAGGTATTGAGACTTTCAAAAGGTTATTTTTCCCATAATACAGTGTAGAATGCAGGGACCATCTCTGAGGTTATCTTTTGTTCTTAAATATTGTATTTTCAAAAAAATTTGGGATAAATACATAGAAATTCAAAATTCTGACAGATTCTGGTGGGTTTTTTTTCAAGTGTCACTCAAAATTAAACAGCCACACTAATCCAGGAAAGGTGTTTGACAAAGAAATTATGTTTTCTGTAATGGTGACTTTAATACTTTCTTTAAAATATGAATTTTTTCCTTTTGAATTTCCTTTTTCTAGTGTCA